TGTGATTCATCGGCAAGCCAGGCAGGATCCCAGGCATCCTGTGACCCTGTCATTCCTCTACCTATACACTATGGGCGGAGGAGTACCAGAGCACGTGCCAGAGCACGCAGGAGGAATGGACTTGGGTTGGAGGCCGCTGAGGCAAAAAGGAGAAAGTGTATTCTCTATGCTTACAAGGGGCAGTGGCTCTTTTAATGTCCTTGAAGACCAGTTTTCCCTAGGAATGAATTAAGAAAAAAAAAAGGAAATTTGCTTGGATTCACTTGAAGTAAAGCTGCTGGGATGAAATCAATGTAAAAACAAGACTTGGGGAAGGGTAACAGTGGAGAGAAGAGATCAATCTTGGGTAGAGGCTTGCATTGCAATATGAAAATATTTTGGAGTCTAAATGAAACAATGGCGGTCATAAGCACTGGATGTTAGCATCGACAGGGGAGGTTAAATGGCCTGAGTTCAAAGTCTATTGTGTAAAACTCAGCATCAGACGTGTCCCCTCGCTCTCTGGTCCCCTGTCCTTCTGGTGTCCTGCTTTAAAGGCCAAAGCAGAAGAGAGGGTAATTCCTCTTATTGTGTCCCCCTGGAGGCAGGGAGTTATCTGATTCACACTGTGGATGTTGGAAAAGAGCTTGTTGATGGCACAGATGAGGGCAAGCCTGTGGGGGTGAACCCGGCGCCCAGGGGTTCAGGAATGCACCTGCAGAAGGGGAGGGCCATGGGCGTGCGTGGCTGGGATATCGTCGGTAGGGATGCCGAGGGGTCAAGTTTCAGGAAGCCCAAGGCCTTCCTTAAGACCTTGTAACTCAAGTGCTGATAAACAAGAAGTCTAATTGGTCTTTCAATGAGCAGGAGAGTGAGTGACCGGCAGAAGAGGAGGGATCGAAGGGACCCAGATGACTCCCTGCCTGGAGAATGGAAGGGGCTGGGCCCGCGTCCTGCAGAGCTGCATTCCATACCCTTCTGGGGCTGCCCATTCCTTTTTGCCAATCCAGCCGGGCACTGACAGCACAGGCCTGCCGGCCACATGCTCAGTGAGTTACCTCTGGCTAACCCAGCGTCAGCCCAGGCAGGAAACCCCCCATGTCACCCTGAAATCAGAACATTTGCAAGCCACAAAGGACCTGGGCAAGTCCTTTTCTTTTACAGGCAGGAGAACTAAGGATCCAGAATGTTAAACAGCTCCTCAGAGGTGAGGGTGAGCAGGGCAAGGAGGCGCGTCTCAGCCCACGCCCTCTGTGGCAGCCTCCCTCCAGAGGGCATTAAAGCAGACTTCCACAGGAGCAGAGCGGGGTGAGGGGGTGGGTTCTCTGCCATCTCCCTGCTCTGTCTCTGCTCCCCCTCCCCAAGGTGGAAAGAAGTGGATTTTCTACCCTCTTCATTCCTGTGATCATCTCCATCCTCACCCTCCCTGCAGAGGGTGGCATTTAGCATAATGGCCCATTGAAGTTCTGCTTAGGGGATACCACCCAGATGACAAAAGAGACATGTTGGTACAGTGGAGACCCCTCTCAGTAGAATGTGGGGAGCTGGGGGTGCTAAGGTTTGTTTAATTTTAAATATTCTGGCAAATCTGTTTTGAGGATAGCAATCTTTATACTCCTGGGCAGGAGATTAGTCACGTGGCAAATAGCTCATGTCTGCTCAGTGACCTAAGATGGTGGACGGTTTTGTCACTGAACCTCACAGATCTTCCAATTTGGTTTTTTCTTGTTTGTACTTTTAAGTTGTTTCTGATTTTAGAAAACACCCGTCTTGCCTTTTCTCCTCTCAGCTTCAACCCTTCCCACCTCAATCACCTGGTTACTCATTTTCATTTAAAGACTCTATTTTTTGATTTTACAGAGTTCCGAGAGCAAGAGGATTTAAAAATGTATGGGTTAAAAAACCTCACTCCTTCCTGTGTCCTTGCTCTCCTTGGGCCCTAAGTCTGGATAATTGTCATCAGATTCTTAGTTATTTTTCCAGGACTCTTATGCAGATCTTATACCCCTTCTATTTCTCACACTGAAGATAAAGTACTATACTCACTATTTGACATCTTATATTTTTCACACACGTAGTACTTTATTGAGGTTGAACTTACATACAGTAAAATGTACAAAACATTCAAGTGCATAGGCCAATGAAAATTTTTCTTTTCTTAAAACTTACTTTTCTTGGGTGACTTTTATTTTTTATTTTTTAAAGATTTATTTATTTATTTGAGAGAGAGAGAAAGCGCAAGCATGCATGTGAGCAGGGAGGGGGTGTAGGGGGGAGGGGCAGAGAGAGAATCCCATGCAGACTCCCTGCTGAGCGCAGGGCTGGATGCAAGGCCCAGTCCCCAGGACCCTGAGATCATGACCTGAGCTGAAATCAAGAGTCAGCCACTCAACCGACTGAGCCACCCTGGGGCCCCTCCTGGGTGACTTTTAAAAGCACCTTTATTGAGGTATAATTTGCAGATGGTAATAAATTGCATTTATATGTAAATACTTGGAACAATCCCCGTGACCAAGACCAAGACAGTGAACATACACATCCTACTTGGAAGTTCCCTTTTGCCTCTGTATTTTCTTATTAGCTACTGAGATAGAACAGATTGAAGAGTTGGGCTAAAGACATCTAATAAGCTGATTTACACTTTTACTATACTTCTCAAGCCATCTCTAGTTTCTAAAGAGCCAGGAGGCAGGTAACAAAATTTAAGGCTTTTCTATTATGAAGTCTTATTAATCACCTCAATTTCCAATGCTTAAACATTTGACCTCAAGGGACTTTGATTAAGATTAATTGGAAGGTATTTGCTGTACAAAGCTTATTTTGTCTTGCTGTAAAGCTTCTGGTGTCCCAGCTTCTGATCCTGAGCAATCTGACTCAAAGAATCAAGGACTCTTAGGAAAACAAAAACCAACAGAACTTCCAAGGAACTCCAGGGTTTTCTTTGTTTACGAGCCATAATTCTGGAAGGAAGGAAATGAACACTTAGCAAGCACCTTCTGTGTGCCAAACCCTTTACATAAAATAAATCATGTAGCCCTCACAAATAACCTACAGCAGAGATGGGGTCACCACCCCATTGCCAGAAGGGGAAACAGGATCTAAGAGTCTAAGCAACTTGTCCAAGGTGACACAGCAAGTGTCACGAGCTGGAATTGAAACTCAGGTCTCTACTATTTTAGAGCCCATCCTTTTCATATCATGGGTCTACCCTCTGCTCTCCACCCCCAGACAAATTATATTTAGATAGCCGTAGACACACACAAACACACACACACACGCACGCGTGCGCGCGCACGCATACATAGTAGGATGTGCTATATGTTACATTTTTAAAACTTCCAAATGCCTTAAAAAATACAACAGTCTATAACAGAACATGGAGGCAAACGGGTCCAAATATATGGGTGATTATAATTTGCTATTGATGTCAATTGACATGCATTGAGTTGTTCCCGAGTTTTTCCGTTAACAAGAACTGAGAAGTTACCATAGCCTGAGAATTGTGCTCTGCACTCTGGCAGTTGAAAAGTAACATTTCCGGACCAAGACAGAATCATGTGTTCGCAGAAGCGAGGCAGTGAGTGGGAGATCGTGTGTGGAGCCTGGCAGGACAGTGGAGTTCTAGAAAGGCCTGACTGGAGGAGGGAGGGGAATTGGAGCATTGGGTGTGTAGTTGGGGATCTGAATACCCAGAGCTTTCAGAGCTGGACAGTGACGTTTCGGCGAGTTGCTCGAGCTTACAGAGAGAGTTGATAAAGAGCTGGTAGCTGAGCGAGGATGAAGTGTCAGGCATCCTGCCTCGTACCGACATCTGTCAACTTCTGTATTCTTCAAAATCTGAAATCTTCGTGTTACAGAGCCAACCTCAATTAGCTGCGAATGAAGGGAACAAGGCCCACAGCACCAGAGTCCCATAGGGAAGCCGTGACGCTCAAAGCAGGGGACTGACGAGTTCCACGGAGGGCCCGTCAGCAGAGGTGGAGCAGGTTCCAAGAGAAGCAGCATCAGGGAACGGTGAAGCACCAGGAACAGCAAAGGCAGGAAGCCATGATCATCCCCAAGTGGGAGGGGCGGGAGTGCAGAGACGGTGCTGGGGATGGGCAGGAGCGGTGGTTGAAGGAAGTGTCCCGAGCTCCAGGTTGGGGAACAAATCCCCCATCCTCACTCACCCTGTGTCGTCTGCTCACTCCTTGTTCTTCCTAATGGCCCAAACCAGGGGTCGCAGGAGCTATGTGGGTACTGGGCTCAAAGATCAAGCTCCGGGGGTACAGAAGGACAGAGGATGGGTCTGGAGAGACAGATGGATGCTATCCAGGGCAAAGCCTGTGCTGGGGGAATCTGGGAAGGCTTTTCTGGGCAGCGCATCAAAGGAGCTATTCCAGGTGCCCTAGAAGCTCAGAGTTTTAAATTCATTCCCTTTCATACTCCAACAGCTTGCCCTGGTTCACAGCAGAAGCTTGATAAACCAGGGCCTTATTCTTAGTGTAGTCATCCTTCCCTGCAGCCCCAGATACAGGGGCCAGCTGTTTAGCTCATGCCCTTGCTAAAGAGGCGGTCATGGGTCTATTCTTGGTGATCACATAGGGATCGGTTAGCGACTTCATGGTCAAGGTAGTGGGTGCCCAGATAACCCTGAATGAGTGTTGTTTATTGGTTCGAAAGAGGTCCTCCTCATTAACTCATTATCTTGCTGGAGAGACAGTTGCGTTTGGGCTCCTGCTTTTCAGTGAGAATGGCTCTATTTCCGACTTGCTTGGAAACTATTATTAACTATTATTCCAAACAATGCGTTTGCATATTTGACAATCCGGAAACCAAATTTAGCTGTGCAAATTATAGACAACTGCTCTCATAATGTCACTGTGATGTCCCAATTCTTAAGAAATGGAAGATTAACAAAGCTGGCTTTAAATGTTTAAAACAATATTTTATAGAAGAAACCATTTCCCCCCGGAAGATGCATAGATCTCTAGAATGTTCCCGGAGCGCTCTGGAAGTTGACTATGTACTGTTTCTATCAGAGGAAGGGAAGGTTGCAGAACATTGAAGAGATGCCCAAACGCTGAAAAGCTATAGGCGCCTTCAACTTACTAAGGAATTATGTTGCAACTAAGAGAAACTTAAGAGGTAATTTAAATGATTTAAACGCCACCGTTTTCCCTCTTCTCCAAAACCGCCAAGACAACGCTTACAATGTTAGACTGACCTTTAGCACATGTGATTTTAATGAAAGACAAGACATTTTTCAGGTTCTGAGTACATCTCAAACCATTCTTTAAGTAGTGATTTCTTGTCAAGGCCCTTACACCGACTCGTGAGAAGGGGACATCTGACCTTTGCAAAATATTCCATGGGTCTGAATCATCTAAGTATATGGTAGCTTTATTCTCACAGACAAGAGAAACCAAGAACAGGTGGATAATGGAGAAATCTGTTAATGTAACTGGATTCGAATGGCACTTACTGGGATCCCACCGTGCAATTTGGGATTCGAATAGCAAGTTACTTAACCTCTCTGAATCTGTCTTATCTTTAAAAGAAGGCTGATAAGACTAGCCTGCGTGTTTACTGTAAATGGTGAATGGGTCTGTGTGTGAGCACAGTGTTCACTACACGAGCATTAAGGCATTTTTCTTATGGGTACTTGTGACATGAAGGACAGTGAAAAGAAACCAACCACCATAATGAGACTTCTAGAGTTTGGGGCTCTTCCTGAGAATGCAGTGGACCTAGGAGATGAAGAGAACTGAAAAAATATCATGCCTTCTGACAAACCCATCCAGCATATGCCAGCTTGAGGGTGCTGTCCTTCTAATTTCAAACTCATCTATTGGGGCACCATGACCAGCTGGCTTTGCCCCTGTTTCCTCCCCAGGTAGCTCAGGGACCGTGCTAACTGGGACAGTGATGAGAGTACCTACTTTTACTGCAGAATGATTAGTATGATTGGGCTGCTGCCTGCACGAGGGACAAGGGGGGGAATGATGCTTCTAGACCCGGGGAGGATGTTGATATGAAATTGTGATTTTTCTCTGATGGTGATGTTTCGAGATTTAAATGGCTTCCAACTTAAACAGCCCCAATAGGACAGAAGGTCTACAAACCCAGGGTCTTTGGATCAGTAGATTTCAAAGAGCTCTGCCCTGCTCTAGAGATCTGCCAAACTTGAAACTCTGGGGAGGAGAGTGATCTCTTCTTTATATTTTTATAAATCATACACAATGGGTTATCCTCATAATTTATACAACTTGTAGCCTTCAAAATGTTTACTTTTTACAATTATTATAAAATTAAATAATGTTTTTGGAATATCTTTAAAATTTGAAATTTATTTTAATAAATGTTATGTGCACTCTAATCATGGAGCCTAAATAGAACACAAAATAAAAGAAAGGAGGAGAACAATTAGAAGAAGTTTCAGGAGTCTGACATAATATCTCCCTTCAAGGGGCAACTCGTAGTCAACTGCATAGATACACGGTGAACATGACTTAAGTCTTAGCTACCATTGTCACCCCTCCCAGAAGCATTCTCTAGAATATTCCGGATGGGTGACAATTCTGTCTTTATTTTATTGTACTTATTTATTTTTAATTATTATTCAAGCTTATCAAAGTTATACATAACCTGGTTAAAAATCCAACTGTATTTTATTTAAAGGGTAATTATGAAAAACAGCTTTCCCCATCTCTACAACTAGTCCGTGATCTTGCTGTCTGGAGGCAGTCACTTCCAGTCTATTTTAGCTGGTTATTTTAGCATTTACCTCCTTGGTGCCATATAATACGCATACACTGCTATTTCTTGATTTCTCAATTTTAGATATTATTAATTTCTGTTGTAGCCATCAGGTTTACTTCCGTATATGCCACTCTTCTATATCTCTAACTCCACTAAAGACTTAATGGTTAAATCATATTTGGTGTTTACATTGTTATTGTTGTGTGTATATTGTTCAACTTTGAACCAAGTGGGGTGCTATAGTTACCTTTTGTTTTAGGAATTTTTGTTAATGTTGGAGATAATTAACTGCCTTGTTTCTTCATTTCCTTAAATTTCTTTAACCCCCACCTCACCTCACCTGAACACACACACACTCACACAGTTGCGCGCATGCGCGCACACACACACACACACACACACACACACACACACACTCGACATTCAGGTCTGTCAAACACCTCCTGTTTCACTTTCAAATGGTCAGACATCTGATAATCAATCAGCTCCAAAGGCAGCCCTCCCTGAACCCTTGATCCTCCACCTCCAGCCTGGACTTGGTTCTACGCCAGACCTGCTGCCCAGGTGCGGCTAGGGTTTTCCTCACACCTTTCCCGTGCTCTACATCTTCCTCTCACTTCACTCCCTTATTTCTCAGAAGCACATTCTCCAGAAGCTTCTTAAGAAAAGGCGCATTGGAGGTAAAATTCTTGACTCCCTGCATATTTGAAAATGTCTTTCCTCTACCCTCACACTTGATCCACCATTTGGCTGGTGATAGAGTTCAAGGCTGAAAAGAATTTCCCTCAGAGTTTTGAAGCTAGTGTTGGCTCGATGTCTTCTAGCTTCCAGTGTCACCATCGAGCATTCTGATGCCTTTCTGATTTCATCTATTCTGTATGGGACTGTTTCTGTTCTCTCTAAATGCTTTTGGTAGCTTCCCTTTTATGCCTGGCCTACCTTTTTCATTATTTATTCATTCATTGTGCTGAGCGCTTTGTGGTTACTTTCAATCTGGAGACTCATATTATTGAGTTCTGGAAAGTTTTCTATTATTTCTTTGGCAATTTCCTCTCTTCCATTGTCTTCATTCTTTTTTTTTAGAACAGCTATTAGTTGATGTCAGACTTCTTGACTTGATTCTCTAAGTTTCTTACCTCTGTTCTATTTTTCTTCTGTCTTTTGTTGTTGTTGCACTTTTGGGGATATTTCCTCACAATTATCTTTCAGTCCCTTTACTGAGCATGGAAAATTAATGTTTTGTTTTGTTTTTTTTGAGCAAATAATATATGCTTATGTTAAAGGTTCAAAATTATAAAAGAGAATGTAGGTAGAAGTAAGCCTCCTCTGGACCTCATTCTTCAGACATCCAGCTCACCATGTCGGTAGGGATATTTGGTATAGGAGAGGGTGGGGCTGGAAAACGAGGGCATTTTATACAAGTTTGCATACTGAATGAAGGCAGTCCCAGCTTTCTTTCTTCGCCCTGCTCCTAGAGCACAACCCTCCAGGCATATATTCTTCTAGATAGGAATCGTCTAAGAAGCTTTGCTGGAGAATAGAACCTTGGCTATCTGTCAGCATCTTTGGGTCTTTTCTCCCTGGTTGGTAAGATTCCCTAACATAGAACATTCTAATATCCTGTTTAGAGAGTATAAGCCTGAAGCCCAGCTGCTAAGATTTTGAAAAAGAGAGCTGGCGTGGGATGGGGTGTTGGGGGCTGGGAGGTGTTTGGGGAGCCATCTCCATACCCAGTATGTAAATTTTTACTTTATCGTTCTGTCTTCCGTATGGTGCCACCACCTTCAACTATGCCTCCAACCCAGAGACCTTTTGTTTTGTCCTCTCTGGAGAATAAACCTTTAGTCTTCTGCTGGGGATGGGATGGGCGGGGGGGACGTCATCTGGCTGAGTTGGATCAGGGAGGGATTCTGGAGTTCAAACTGCTTCTTCTGGTCTTCAGATTGGATGATTCCTATCCATCTAGTGTCTTGCTTACTGATGCTTTCCTTTGCTATCACCACCTTAGTCTTACTGGTCTACCTAGTGAATATTTTATTTCAGATAATACTATTCCATTTTAGAATTTCCATTTTATTTTTTTAATAGTTTCCACATCTCTGCTGAGATTTCCTACATTTTCATATATTATGAATATATTTTCCTTTGCCTGATTGAACATAGTTATAATAGATGCTTTCAAATCCTCATCTGCCACCTGGGTCCTGTCAAAGTCAGTTTCTGCTGATTACTTTTTCTCTTGAGGCACTTTTTTTTATTTCTTCATACACTGAATAATTTTGGATTATATCCTGGACATGGTGAATATTATGTTGTAGATAATCTGGAGAAGTGTTGTCTTTTTCCAAGCAAATACCTTGTTTGCGCTCAAACTGAAAACTCTGATTTGGCGTGGTAGTTCAAATCTTCTTTTAGTTATTATACCTTTCGCTGGGCTGTTTGCAGTTTTCCCTGTGCATGTGTAACTTAGAGTCACCTAGATATTTGGTCAGAGTTTATATACATCATTTACGCTTCCCTGTCACTGGCCTTCATCTTTCTAGTATTACAAACCTCACTTTCCAGCGGCTCTGGTTGCCCTGAACCCTGCTCTCTGGTTCTTTAGGGAAGAAAGACTACAGATTTTCTGTTGGGAGTTTTAGCTTTGCAGCCTAGTCACCTTCCCTCCATCTAAGAAATAAAAAGGGGGGTGGTGGTGCTCACCCTGCCATCCTGTGCCATTCCCTTCTTCCAAATGTTAGCTCCCCTCTCTAGAATCTCTTTGCTTTTGTTCACTCCACAGGGCCTTCAGAGAGTTTATTTTTCTAATGTTCAGAGTTTATAGTTGTAGCCTGTGGGAGGGCAGGTCCAGTAGGAGCTCACTCTGCTATATCAGAAGTAGACTCTTTTTAACTGCTTGTTAAACAACTGTTTAAGCAATTCTATTTTCAGTCATTAACTCTACTTCCAAAGTAACGTGATGCCACCAGTTTCTGAGATGCTGGAGTTTCTGCATGCAAACAACAATACCACTGCTACTCTATTCACGCATTAAAAAAAAATCTCTTAGTGAGCATTAAATAGCATACAAATAAAGTAGGAGATAATGGAAGATTGAGACATGGAACATTCAAAATCCAACATAATCCATGTAGCCTCAACGTGGCAGAAGTTAAGTTTTTCAGCCTCATGTGGGCCAGAATAAGAGCGTTCCTTTAAGTCAGCATTTTTTTTTAAAGATTTTATTTATTTATTTAAGAGAGAGAGAGAATGAGAGACAGAGAGCATGAGAGGGAAGAGGGTCAGAGGGAGAAGCAGAATCCCTGCTGAGCAGGGAGCCCGATGCGGGACTCGATCCCGGGACTCCAGGATCATGACCTGAGCCGAAGGCAGTCGCTTAACCAACTGAGCCACCCAGGCGCCCTAAGTCAGCATTTTTAAAAAATGTGGCTAAGGACTAGGGGCTTGTTAAAAATGCATATTTCTAGGCCCACCTTAATCTTCCCAAAACAGAGGATAGGGGTGGAGCCTCATAATTCGCAGACAGGAAGTGCTCCCTAAGGGTTGCCTATTGTGATTATTGTCTTAGAATGCATAAACAACAAATAGCTTCCTGATATGTGCTTGGCCCCCCAGGTGCCAGGTGGCTGGGAGGGTTGTTGCTTATCACAAACGGGGCTGGTGTTACCAGCCAGATGCAGTGCCCGACTTCAAGGAAGCAAATGTGTTCCCAAAGGCAAACACAAATAGTTTGGAAGCATATTGTATGATAGGAAACAGTTTTGTTTTGTTTTGTTTTCCCAGAATCTGTTTGAAATGAGGTTTTGGAATAAGACTATAAGGCTGATTTAGAGGTGCTCTTAACATGCATACTCAGTAACTTCCAGTCAAGAAGTCACTATAATGGACAGCGACAATGACCCCTGGGCTATGAGGGTGTGACCTTGTCGCTGTTCTCTCAGGCTTCCTCTCACCTTCCTACCGAAGGTTTACCCTGTATGACGGTATCCCACAGAACCGGTCACTTCAGGGCACTACATACATACTGGAAACCTTTGTGAAGGTGATCTCACTAATTTCTGGAAACTAATTTTTATTTTTACCTTGCCATAAACTCAAGACCACTGAGAAAGTGTCATTGGTCTGCTAGATGCATTTAATTAGGAATTAGCTTAATTGTTAATTCACTGGCAACTCTAGGCAATCAATTTAGGTCTCAGTAAACTTGTTCTAGAGACATTACTGTACTTTTTAAAGGATCCTTTTATCTATTGAGGTACAAACTGTTTACTAAGAAAAGTCCCCCTAAACAGCTATCCTTTAACCCACAGAAGAAGAAGATGTGGACATAGTCCAACAAGTCTTTGCCTCTAATTGTAATAAAATTTGAATCTCTTTCGGGTTTGAGTCAAAACTTTTGGCTTCATTCACTGGTTCAGAATTCAAAATAATTTCTCCCTCTGATCTTGTATTCTTTTTCTGAATATTATTGAATTCAAATCCCCTGAAATAGAGCTAATCTGCTCTAGTTGAATGTTTGGAATTCTTTAAACCCTCACACAGGTTGAGTTTATCTGGAGCTTGGAAGTGGTGAACCTCAACATTGCAAGCTTTTCTCTGAACTCACACCACCCAAATGGTTCTTCTCCTGCAGAGCTGTTGGTTAGCCCTGAGATGCAAATTTTCAGTTGCTTGTTTCCTCCTTCCCTCCTTCCCTCCCTCCCTTCCTCCTTTCCTTTCCTTTCCTTTCCTTTCCTTCTTTCCTTCTTCCTTCCTTCCTTCCTTCCTTCCTTCCTTCCTTCCTCCCTCCCTCCCTTCCTTCCTTCCTTCCTTCCTTCCTTCTTTTTAGTTGTCTGTTAGTTACTCCTACTTTTCAGATTGGGAAATTGAAACATTAGAAAGGTAAGCATTGTGCTCATGTCTTGGTTACACACACCTTTTTGGAGGGAGATAGGAAAAGGAATGAAAGACAGGTCTCCCTCTCCAGGGCTATATAACCTCTCTCTCTGGGCCCTTTATGAGGACCTAAGTCAGTGGTTTGCCCCTTGGGCTATATGAGCCCTTAGAGGGTCTTTGAAGGAAGCAAGAGAGATTTTTGGGTTGTTTTAATATTTCAAAAAGTCCAACAGAAATCACATAATAATAAAACTCCATGAGTAAACTAGAATGCCATGGTATTTTTGCTTTTGATTAGAGTTAAATTAATTCAGTTTGATAACATTGATTATCATGCTGATCTGAAGCTGTGATTACAGTTATATGCGTCTTAGATGATTAAAATGTGAAAAATAGGTTAATTATGTCTTAATAAATGCAGTTTATTTGATAGGCAGAATCTTATAAAGCTCAAAACTAATCAGAAAAAAATATGACACATTTTGGGAACTCTCTACATATATCTAGAACAGGCAGAGTGCCAAAGAACATAAAACTCCAAAACATATCTATTTTGAAATTTTCCTGGAATCACAAAACTCCATATATTTGTTCTTTCTGGTTGCCTTAACATGAACAGTACAAAGTCGAATTGCCCTTTCTTATACTTTTGACACTAGGATGCCTACCGTCCATGACCAGCTAATGTCCATAACTGGCAACTGTCTAGTCTTAACTACATGTGTGTTACTGTATGTAATTTCAGATTATTGGGTTGATATCTATGAATGCTGATAGTACATTGTAAAGAAAGTATTTGAAAGCAACAATACAATGATTATATTGAGAAAGAGAGGAAAGTGTAATTGGCCATTCTGCTTAAACTCAACAGATCTCTTTCCCATGTGCTAACAACACACGGCAGTATTCTGGGCAGTTATGCTTGTGTGCAAAGTATAAATAGAGACATAAGATATTTTCTGATCTCTTATGAATCATTAGACTAGTCGAAAGACTTTTTTTTTTTTTTTTTTTTTTAGGAAATATTCAACTTGCTTCCCTGAGTTAATTCTACAGGTTGAGGTTTTCATAATCGTGTTACAATCATTGTGGCTTTGGGCGTCACTTTTGTGACTCACTTGGCTTGGGCTGCTTTAGACCCACAGTCCGGAGTTCATGTTGCTGAAGGGCAATGACTAAGATCATTGTTTCCTCAGGGCATGGCCTTTAAAGGTTAAATCAGTGGGGAGATGGCACGGGCTCTGGGGCTTAGGAACATGTCACTTGCTCAGTTTAGGCTGCCTCACTCCCTGGTATATTCTGGTTCCAGAGATCTTTCTGGAGTGTTCCCTGGTCTTAGGGAAAGATCAGACAACACTGCTGTCTCCACACAGGTGTCTGTGAATTTCAGCATAATACCAGAAGTGGCTGACTATCAGTCACAAGGGTGATTTGTGTGAGCATTGTATGTCTGTTGGAGCATGTGTGATGTAACAGAAGCTTATTCTTTTTGGTTTCCTCATGTGTAAAGGAGGGGGTGGTGCAGATGGTCACTGGGGACCTCCCAGGCGCTCACAAACTTTCTATACCTCTCAGCTTCCTTAATAGTAAATCTCAGAATAAAGATGGCCCCAGTAAAACACTAGTGGCCAAATTGAGCCAGACAGGTGGTAGTTTACATGCGTGTGAGACTCTCATTTGCGGGTAGGTGAAGCTAGGTTGAGGCAAAGCACATGCCTCAAAGTACGTATTTTAATCTTAAAAAAAAAAAAAGGAAGTTCCTCCCATGGAGGGTGACTCTTTTCCTTTGGTTTCTTCATGCTGGTAGGGAAAACAACCAGCTCTGAAGCTTGTAAGTGTCCCCATTAGAACATTTTATCCCAGGCTTGAAGGGTTAATGATTATAAGATTTTTAATTGTGTAATTCTCTATGATTTCAGAGGTGTCTTTAAAGTTCTTAACTTTCTGTTTGTCTTTCATTCTCAGCTCCCTCCCTTGCTTGAGACCTGTGGGGCTTGACATCTGGGAGCACTCTGGTAAGTATGTCTTATTAATGAAGCTGTCATTTATCTAGATGTTAGTCTACTGTGGCCCCCATTGCTCAGAGCCTAGATTATTTAAGCCTCACAATAACCTAATGATTTGCTCTCATCTTTATTTTACAGATGAAGAAATGGAGATTTTTGAGAGACTGAGTAATTTGCCTAAAGTCGTATAAAATGAAAAAACAGGATTCAGACTAAAGTGAGTTTAACCTGAGAGCTCGTGGTTCTTAATCACTGTTCTATATTGTTTCCCTTCTTTTTGTTGAAAGATGAATAATATGTGCTCCTTCACCCTGGGGAGAGTGTAATATTAGCAGATCTCCTCTGCTTGAAGACGTTCTCTGTGATGGGGAGGAAGGATCTTGGGGTGGGGGTTCTCTTGCCAGCAAAACAGACATAACGATTCAATACCACTGACAGAGATTTAGAAATACGTACACACAAAGCAGAAGTCCACACTTCACAAGAGCACGTTCAAGCAAAATGCCATATAGTAAACCCATGACAATGGTTGTTCTTGGGAATGGGGAATAAGAGTGGGAAATAAGGTTAAAAGGCAACAAATAAATATATAAGACAAGGGAGGGGATCCTTTCAGGGCCCAACCGTGACAATGTGGACTGAGAAACATCACGAATGCAACCCTTTGCACTTGAGCATCTCCCCTCCCCGCAAAACAGAGTTAAGAGGCAGGACAAGGGAAAAGTAGATCGGGTTGAGAAAAGATTTGGAATGCAAGGAAGGCATGAGTGAGTGCCTCCTTCCTCGTGATGTTTCTCAGAAATCGTTTATTTAGTCTTAGAATGGAAGGACTTTAATGTAAACATCAGCTGCACATAGGCATGAGGTTGCCTCCACCAGGCATCAGATTTTTGACAGAGAATCAAAGGTTTGAGGTCCTATCATTTATATATTAAAGGGGAAACAGTCTCAGAATGCACCGGCTACAAGGACAGTCAGAGTGATTTCACAGGTAAAAAAGCTGAAGGTTCAGAATGGTTGAAGAACTAGTCCGAGATGTCACAGCTAGTATGGGACAGATCCCCGTGCTTCTTCTCCAGGCCCACTTGCCTCCACTGGTCTCTGGCCTGTGTCTGCCCCGTGATAACTCTCTGCTTCTCCTGCTGAACTTGGGATGGATTTGCTTGACCAACATTCCTCCCCCTCATTACCTTGATTCAGAAAAGCCTTGACTTTGGAAGGTGCTCGGTAAATGCTGATGATAATGATCACTGATATTCAGGAAGACTCTTTACATTCTCTGACTCTTCATATGTTTCAGTAAGAAACTGAGTTTTGTGCTTCCTGTTCTGGATTGTTGTGGCTTTTCATTCTATTCTAGTTTCAGCTCTGCTGTTAACTAACTGTATGGATGTGCACCTGTCACAATTATCTTGGCTTTAGTATCTTTATTTGTCCAGAGGACTGTGGTTTTATATTCTCCAAAGAGTCATCTAGTCAAGGCTCCTATGGTCAAAGCTCTTTTGGGAGCCCAGAACCTTCCTCACCAAGGCAGGCATGGGAGAGCTCATGCTCACAAGATACTCTCTCCAGAGCTCCTCTGCATTTCAGCTGCTCGGCTGGGCAGGAGTCTTCGGTCATTTCACCCACAAATAAGCAGTGAGGCGCTTACAAAAGACACAGTGCCAGTAGAGAGAGACAGTCCTTGCCTTCCAGGCACTATCGTCTTATTAGAGGAAGAAGAACAGGTAGGTAGAAGCACACTAAGAGCTAAACCAGGACAAGGAGTACAAGTGCCATGGTTGCTAATCCTACATCCAGTCTGGCTGTGAGCAGCCAGGGAAAGCTTCTCAGAGGAAGAGGGATTTGTGCTGGGTTTTCTGTTTTTATTTATTTATTTGACAGAGAGAGGCTCAGAGAGAGAGGGAACACAAGTAGGGGGAGTGGGAGAGGGAGAAGCAGGCTACCTGCCGAGCAGGGAGCCCGATGTGGGGCTAGATTCCAGGACCCCGGGACCACGACCCGAGCAGAAGGCAGACGCTTAAGGACTGAGCCACCCAGGCGCCCCTATGCTGCGTTTTGAAGGGAGGTAGGCCTCTGATAGCAAAAGCATCAAAATACCACAATAGAGGGGGATGTCCCAAACAGACCAAAGACACAGTTAAGGGGGCCCAAGGCACGCTGGGACATCTGCCAGGAACTGTTCAGAGCAGAAGACCATAGTGTTCAGATCTCAGCTTCCATACGAGTGTAAACTAGGAAGCTGACCAACTAAAGGCATTCTTTACAGCATGTCTGGGTGAGTAGGCACTGGGAGTGTGTATCTGAGATTAAAAGTATGAGCATGTGTATTAACAAAGGTGGTTGGAGTGAACCCCAAAGCCGAGTGAGGCTGTGCTGGGAGAATCTGCTCCAGCTGGGCACTCCCGAGGGGAATTCTGTAGCTGCCTGACCATTGGTATACAGACACAAACTCTCCAGGAGTTAGCACAAAGACAAAGAGTTCATCTAACATTGAGAGACAGCACAAAATTTTTTTATGAATAACAGCTGACTATTGGGAAATATGAGGGGAGTGGAGATCGTTGCAAGTCAGGAGGATTTAAAAAGTCAGCTTAAAACCCAACTTTTCTTAGCAAGAAACAGGGTGACTCTATGAGAAGACGATGCTGCCCAGAGTTTTTTCTGCCCACCGTGAAAATGTATGCATAATACCTGAACAATTACGTTTTGCATCTGAATAAGTTCAAGTGCCTATCAGAGTCAATAAATCCATAAATCAATATACTGTTTCAGATACAGTGTACATCAGCATGTCCCCCTGGAACTTGGAATAATCCCCTCCCATATAATTATTTACATATGTTTATAGGTAGATAGATGGATTAGATATATAGATAGATAGAATTGAATGTGGGTTGAAAAGCCAGGTTGGGAATGAATTGTGAGGACAGTGCATGCCTGGCTAAGGAACTGGGGGTTTCTCTTTAGACAATAGAAAATCACTGGTATGGAGTTCAGATGAGGACTTTATGGACTAAGCTTCTGTCTGCTTTTTGGAAGCTTAAGGTGAGTTATAAACTGTAAACTAGGAAAGCCCTCTTTAAGGCCAAATGGACCTGTTCCCATACCAGCCATCAGCTTGGTTCCAGGAAGTGGGGGTCCTGAGCCCAGGACAAGGCTCAAGGGACAGTAGCAGCTTAGTTGCTGTGTCCTCTAAGGGCTATCCGTGACATCAGTGTGTCAATGCTGGACCAGAATGAAGCTCTGGGCTTCCTTCCCTGACCTCTCAGGGCTTCCCTCCTGAAGGTCCCTCTACGTCTAGTAAAAGAAAAAAAGGCAGATTTTTGGAAAGAATAAAAATTAAGTTCAGGTTGTAGCAAGCAGTATGCCTAAGGATAACCAGCATTTCTATGACACAAGATGGAAGCAGGATGGATAGACTCTTAATGGAATTCACGACTGATTGCCACTCCCTTTGTGCGGCATGCTTCTATTTAGGTAGTCACTCTTTATCCGCACAGAAGGGAAATGGTCGGACACAAACAGGATCACAACCAGACTACTTGAATTTTCTAAATATAACATTCTGGAGATGATTATACCAACAATAAAGGGACTCTCTAATATTTCTGATGCATTAGGCAGCCGACAGCATAGTTTCAAATATATCTTTAGAATCTCACATTACTGCTTTGGGATTTTCAGAGCTGGAGCTCTTGCCACACGCTCCGATTTAAAGACAGGCAAACTGAGGCTCAAAGAGCTTATGAGAATCGCCTGGGAACTCACGGCCAGTGAGCTGCAGAGCTGTGAATCAAATTTCAACCTTCTGACCCCCAGTCCAGTGTTCTTCACTCCCAGCCGCATAAAAAAGCAGTCTTGAATTTGATTCTGCATCAGTAAATTTCGTTTCTAGTAGCTCATTCTGCTCCGCAGGCTTTGAGATGCTGCTGACCTCCAATAGAACTGCGGTCAAGGGCGGAGCCACGACCCGGCTCCCCTGGACAAAGGTTTCGGTCAAGGAGCACACCGCCCCACTCACACATTCTTATTTGCCCAGAGAGGATCATATTACAGGGTCGTCTTTGTTCCACTCCACGCTTCCGTGTTCATTTATGTACAGAGAAAACTGTGTTTGGGATTTGCAAAGTCTAGCAGAGCATTTCCCTATTTCATCACAGGCAATTTTTTTAACCCGTTGGTGTATCTGTTCTTTACAACTTGAGGATGAGAGTGGAACTGAGTGAGCATGAAAAATGTTGAGGGTATAGAAGGGTCCAGGCTGGCATTTCCAATACCCTGATAATGTCACTGTATCAGCTCCTTTATTGTTTGAGGAAGGTAACTGTTTCAAAGGGAGAGAGAGGGAGAGAGCTTGATTTTCACTAGAAGGGAGGGAACTTGAGGTAACTTATCTTTGCGTTTCGCCCCTGTCCCTTGCCCAGCATCTAGAAATGTACTGCCCCTAGACGAAACTCAGTATTATCTGCATGAATGACCGAGGACCCGGGTGACCCACCTGCTCATCCCCTGTATTACTTGTTTCCATTCCTATTCACGGTTTAGGACGTTAAATAGCTTTGAATAATCCCTCTAGTTTGAAATTAGAGACGCCAACCCAAATAAAGCCATGGAATGGGGTCTCCTCTGAACCAGCTCCAGGGGAGGTTGTAAAAATAGTTCTATTTAGAAACAGAGCTATTAATAGCGTCATTTTCTCCCAAGCCTCCTTTTTTCATAGAAGAAGAGGGTGTCAGATGTTCTCAGCACCTTGTCGCCTCTTTAGGGTTTTGGCACCTTGTAGCAGGCTTGGCCTCTGAAATGACAGTGGTGGTCTTACAGGTGTGGTGCAGCTCGAAGGAGCCCTGCGGGATGGACGGAAGACACTAGTGCTCAAGAAGCCAGGAGGCCAGCTGCCTGCATCCTTCCAGCCAACGTTCACCCCGAGACCCTGCGAGTTTTCTGGAATCCTGACTCTTCCACCGAGAACCTCTCCGGAGCAGCACTTCCCGAAGTATAATCAGCGGTGTGACAAAGGCTGCTCTTGATCTGTCACAGCTTTGGTTTTCTCACCCATAAAACATGGACAATGGGAACTAATATAGTGATTTGAGGATTCAATGAGATAATACTTGGGCTGAGCTGCCAGGAACTATTGGCTCCCGTTGCTAGCCCCTCTTTAATGGTCAGAAGATACAACAGATCCTTGGGTTCCTGTAACATCCTTTTCTCCACCCTCTTTTCTACCTATTTATCTCCTTTGTTTTAAAATCCCATTCAAGCCCCACCTCCTCTCTGAGACTTCTCTGCAATGTCTGCCTAGCCTCGTGAACTCCTGGGATTTCTTAGAGCAGAGTGGCTCTGGCTGAGCCAACATTCAGAATGATCATGTGGGGCTCCTCCGTGTCCTTAGGTGAGTTGCTTTGCATGGGAGGAGGACCCAGAAGGGGATCCTTCAACAGAAAGTTTTAGGTGCTAAGACACCCGTCGGGGGTGGCAGAAGAAAGAGATGGTGCCAATAGTGTGTGTGGGGTGGGGGGCAATCCAGCCCCTTTGGAAAGGGGGAGAATCCTCCCCACATCTGTATTTCTGCAGGGAACCAGGCTGGCTCTAGTATAGTGAGAGATGGAGGAATGCAGCTCTTAGGGGCAGCATTGGGAAGGCAGATTTGGGGACACAGGAACACAGGCTCTGGACAGGCAGCCTTGCCCCGGTGGAGACCAGGTGGATGCCCAGCAGAGCCCAGTGGGAGGGCAGCAAGCCCAGAACTGTTCGTAGAATGAAAGACATTCCCAGAGGGTTCTGAGAAATACCTGGGGAGGATTTTGAGAGGATTTTACATAGACGAAAGGGATGATGAGACAGCAGAATTTATGACCTCATTCATACTCACCAGCTGATTATGCTTCTAAATAATGCAGACCGCCCCGCTGCATAACATCAATTTACCAAGTAGCGGATAGATCCTGTGCAGGGATGTGGGTGCTTCCTGTTCAATACGGATTGCCTAATACAGCATTTGATGTCTGGAGCTCTTTTGCCTTCCAGACTTTGAGCTGCTTACTGTTGCTTAAGATTCAAAGTAAAAAGAGAAAAGAGAACAATTTACTATTTATTGGGACTTTATCATTACCAACAGATCCCGTTCAGCAAGCCTATCCCGCAAACCCAACCCCCATGGTCTAGGCCATGTTCTTTCTCTCCTTCCTGAGATATTTAATGATCTCAAGGGATTTCTGCCAAAATGGGTTGATTTAGAATTGTGCTAAGAAACACCCTGAAGTAACTGAATGGTTCTATTGCATTAAAGAGAGGGTTTGAACTTGTCTCGGTCTAACGAAACAACTGGAACTAAGGTGATAGTTGGGATCAAAGATTATTCATCTTAGTCATCTTTGCTCTTGGTTCTTTTTGAGAATTGACACTTTCTTGAGTTATTTTTTTTAAAGATTTTATTTATTTATTTGACAGAGAGAGACACAGCGAAAGAGGGAATACAAGCAGGGGGAGTGGGAGAGGGAGAAGCAGGCTCCCCGCGGAGCAGGGAGCCCGATGCGGGGCTCGATCCCAGGACCCTGGGACCATGACCTGAGCTGAAGGCAGATGCTTAACAACCGAGCCACCCAGATGCCCCGACACTTTCTTGAGTTATTAAGCCATTACTGCTAGCATACAAGCTAAGGGGCCCAAAATTCACAGAAATTCTGAACGGTGCTTTGAATGTCTTTTTTTTTTTTTTTGGTAGGATGCTCAAGTGCCAAGTCATCCTTTTCTGAGTTAAGTCACTGATCTTGAAGGTTGTCCAGCCTCCTCCTTGAGGTCCATGCTGGCCAAAGAGTCAGCTGGGAAGTCTGCCTGAGCCTTTGGGCTAATGTCTGTCATAGAACAACCTTTGCTGATGGTTTGGAGAGCTCACATTTTGGCCACAGAGAATGGGCAGTGCTTACTCTATAGTGGCAGGATGTGCTCCCAGGATGGATGGCTGCATGACAAGTGTCCACCTCCAGTTCCCTAGCAAATCGCTGGCAGTGCCCTTTCTTTCTACAAGGCACAGGATAGGCGGTCCCTTCCTTCTCTCTCCCAAGGTAATTACTAGTGCTTTCCCATAACCCACAGCTAAACCAACTCTTCTCCAAATCTCATAAATACAAATGACAGGGAGGAGGCTAGGGCCGTGGGGACAGTACTCGTTGTCTGTGGTGTTGTCACCTTCTGTTACCCAGGTGCATGGCCTGGCTTTCATTCAGTGCTCCATGTTCCTGGCACACGAAGGACCTTAGTGTGGTCTGCTGGGGCAAGCTGGCTTCCTGCTTGTGTCAGTGCTGTGTTAGCAAGATATTTCCGCCACCCGGGAGGCAGCCAATACCCCCTGGCTGAGGCTTGAGATGTCCTTTTGTTCCTTACCACTCGGCCCTGGGAACAGTTGTCTTCTGACAGGCTTATCATGCACAGCCTGTTCTCATTGTTCTGTAGCTCTTGCCAGAGAAAGAATAGTGACCTGTCCTTTCCTGGTCTCCCTCTCTCCAGGAGTACCTATGAGAAGCCCACAGGGGGGCAATCAATAAATATTTGCTAAGTGAATTGGATAGATGGAATGGCTTTTGGATCACTTACCCACTTATAAAAGTTCTTCAGGTGGCGGGGAGTCTGACCAATAGAAGCGATACTGAAAAGTGACCTGCAGCACCTAGAAACCTTTCTTTACTTGTCACTCCTGTGTGGTGGATGACTGGAGGGTTGGCTGGGATGGAGCCGTAGGGCCTAGCGCCACAGGGTCAGGGGATGTCGGGGAAGTTGGCAGGTGCCATTTCTTTCCAAAAGTTGCCTGGTGTTAGCCCCTGAACGAGGCACATTAGCTGCATTATTTCATCTCATCTGCCCAGCTGCCTCCTTAGGAGGAAATATTGCCTTGCTTTCCTGGTGAAGGAGCCAAGGCTCAGAGAGAGGAAGTCACCTGCTTGAGGTCACGCAGGCAGGGAAGGGCAGAGCCAAAGTTAGGAGTTATGGCCAAGCTTCTGCTGTTCCCATTATCCCACAGCTGGGGGGCTCCTGCACTCAGGGGGACATCTAGGTGAACAAGACCCTTCTGGGATGCCTCACTCTGGACTCTTCAAAGAAAGATTCAGAAATCCTTAGATTTGCAGGGCATTTGAGCATTTTGAGAATGATTTTACCCCCACTCTTTCATTTGCCCCTTACAGTAATTAGTCTCCTATGAGCTCCATGTCACCAGTAAGAAACTGAGGTATGAAGAGACCGAGGTTTGACGTATCCCTCAGGGCAGCTGATCGTGAATCCAGAGCTCTTTTCACTGGGTTTCAGAGGAAACAAAGCATTTTTATAAAGTACAGTTGACCCTTGAACAAGGCAGGTTTGAACTGCGTGCGTCCCCTTCTATGCAGGTTTAAAAAAATAAATATATTGGAAAAATTGGGGGAGGTTTGAGATGATTTGAAAAGACTCTCAGATGAACTGTGTGGCTTAGAAGTCTTGAAAAATTTTAAGAAAAATTTAGATATTATTGTAAGAAACATCACCACTTATTTGTTGCTTTTGGAACATTGTCACGTCCCACGGCCATTGTCACTGGGCCATCCCCCCCATTCTATGAGGCCATGTGTTCCTGAATGAAGGGCATCTGGGAAGACCACTGAATCCTGTGAGCATGTAGCCTTACTGCTTTTCCCATGAAATAACCTTCTTTGACAGAAGCAATGTTGTGTGGGATATGATGATGATGAATAAAGCATTAAGTCCACAGAGAATACTAAAGAAGTCCCTAGAAACATAGAAGGCAGGGAAGACAAATCCATGTCTCAAACCAGCATCTATTACAGCGAGCACAAATTCTGTTCAACAACCCAACAATTAAACGCCCCAGATTGTTTCTCTACTCCTAAATATGGAATGTAAAATGTTTCTGATTACAGCTATGGAAGTTCAAGATAGCCGTGCATATGGTTTAGGCTTGGGAGACACACTGTCTCAGTGGGGCCTTGAATGATGGACTGATAATTCTGTTCCTGTCCTCAAGCCAACCCTTTCCCCTCTTTGCTTTTGCTTTTTCGAACCATCACCACTTTTCCGCAACTCCCAGCTCAGCTCTTTCCTTCTCATTCTCTGACGATGACCTTTCTTTCCTTCTTCAGGAAAGACGCCGAAGCTCTTCGGCCAGAACTCCCACATATCAAGTTACCTTGGGCTGCTTGTCTGCAAGATTCAGAGAAGTAGGAACCTAAAAATTCCACCCAAATTCTTAATTCCCCTCTCTTTCACGGTCCTGCTCCATCAACTATCCCCTTTGGGATTGTCATGCTCACCACGTCCCTAGGCTTCTGACTCCCATATTGTTCATCTGCAGATTTCAGCCACCTTAAGCAATGCCAACACTCAGCTGGGGAACCTCCCTTGATCCCTCATGGCCTTCTAATAACAACCGACTCCTTCCTCCTGGTGAAAGCTTTTCAAAAGAAGGCTCTATTATAGCCATGTCTGCCTCCTCACTTCTTTTTCACTCCTCAGCCTATAGAAGTAAGTTCTTGATTCCTCTCTCTTCTCTGAAACTGCTCAGATCACAAATTTCGGCCCCACAATGTAGTGGCCAAACTCAATGGCCACTGACACCCTTATCTCATTTGCTATCTCTGTGGTGGCTGACAGTGTGGACTTCTCCCTTCTCTCTCCTCCCATGACATCAGTGACTCCTTAGCCATCTGGTTTTCCTCTTGTTTCTTTCCATCCATGTAGCTTCTCTTCTCCCTACCCACCTCCTTCCTGTCTTCTTTGGAATTGCCGCTCCCAGCCCTTTTCTCTTGTTCCTCTTGCAGTCCCTGAGTAATCTGCATTCACTCCAGAGTTGTTGTTCTGTTGTTTTTTGAACTGTCCCCACATGTCGATGACTCTCAAGTCTATGCTTTTGGCACTGACTTCATTCATGAAGCTCAGACCCATGTATCTAATCAACTCCATAGACACCCCACCGTTAACAAGGCTCAAACTGAAATCATCTCCCTTAGCTCTGCTTCCTACCCCACCAAGGACCGACCATGTTGTCAGAGAAAGCAACGCACAGGCTGGATGACACGGTCTAGAGGACACTGACTCGAGGACACAGGTGTGAGGACACAGAAGGAAGAAGAATTTAGGACAGGGAGCACTTCTAGAGGAGCGGGAGGTGAGGCCACAGCTGAGTGTGAAGATGTGAAAAAAGGGCAGAGACCTCATGCCTCCAGCAGTGCTGACTGATTTAATGGACTGAAGGGGCAGAGGCCAGGAGGTCATCTGGTGAAATGGTGTGGGGAATGTCTTGGGGGTGGGGTTGGCACTGTGCAGTGCTGAAAGGCCACCACATGAGTGTCCAAGAGTAACCAGCCCCGAGCTTATGATAAGATTCGACAGTGGAAGCACCAAAGACTCTGGATGTTGGGCCCTCTTTACTGGAACTTTCTAAGAGGGACCAGGCCAATGGAAAGGGCTTTGAAACTCAGCAGATGCTCCCGTTGCTTTCTGTATGGGAGACTTGAATCTCCACTGAGTAAGTATGGGGCTCTTGGAGGGCAGGCAGCATAACACTTACATTTCGTGCAATTCCTTTACCACCGAATAACATGCTAGGCCCACTATGGGGTCTTTGATAAATAATATTTGGAAAGGGCTGTGTGTGTTTTATTCCTAACACCTGCTCTCTATCATCTCTGTTCCTTTCTCTGAGCTGATAACATTTGCCATCGGCATTGGGAAATGGCTGGGAGTGGGGAGTTGGTAAGAAGGAGGAGGAAAGAAGAGAAAATATACTACTGCAGGCTTGAGAATTTCTCTTTTGTAAACTTAATGGGAAGATCTGGATTTTTACTGGAAAACATTAAAAAAAAGGAAAAACACACGTATTCCGGGGTTTTAGTTACAGTGCTAGATTTGTACAACAGACAAAACCATCATCGAAAATTCTAGCACCTCCACCTAGTGTCAAGTTCTCAGCCCATGACCCTGAGAATGGAGTCAGCCGTATTCAGAGAAGTTGCTGCCTCTCAAATCACCTTGTTGTCACCATTTTAATGGTGCATCTGCCTCTACGGAGCACAGATGGCATTTGCCTCTACATGAACGGCACAGAATTTCATTTTGCTCATTTCCTATTACTACATTGGCTTCACTTTATCACCCTTTATCGCAGCCCACTCTTGTCCTGCCCAAAGCAATCTGCATAACTCTGTTAAAGGTGAGATCGGTTTCTGATTTTTATCTCCAAATTGTGAAAGGAGAGTTGGCATTAAGGAGCCTTAAGTCCTTCCTCTAAATGTGTGTTAAATGCACGGCACGGTGAGTAGTGATTTCATCTTATAAATTATGGAGCAATGGACTTAAATGATCGGACTTGTGGGAGAAGGGTGTAAAATGAGTTGCAAGTTAATTGTTTAGCTAAGAGTTAACTTCTCTCTTATCTCCTCTGTAACCCATTTCCTTCCTCTAGACATGGCTCCTGGTGAGCAATCAGTGCTTCTGTCGCCCTGCCTGACAGTGGCTGGGCTGCTTCTGGAGAACCATGGTAATGGCACTAGTACCTTGTACAAATCATGTCATGGGCACAGCATTGTCTTGCCCCAGAATGCTTGGCTGCTCGTGGTCCTCATGGCCCTCCAACTCTCCTGGGGTGGGGCAGCCTTAAATGGAACCCAAATGGAACCCCGTCCCAGAAGAGCCACACTGTGACACAATCCAAGTCTTAACCCTGCCCTTGTCAGAGGGTAAGAAAAGCTTGGGGGGAAGAAAAACATCTCCCAGCCTTCTGCAGTCACACTATGTAATTCTCACCTTATTTACTTGGGTTGCTACCTGTGAAATCTCTTCAGTTCAGGTCAGCCAGCATTTTCTTGAAAGCCCTAATAAGTGCCAGACACTAGGCGAAGAGCTAGGGATACAGAGTCTCAGCTTTTCAGGGAAAGAAAACAGAATGGTAGCTAAGAAATCATGACGCTATTAATGGATAATCAGTACCATTATAAGACAGGTAAACGAGAGGACTATTTTGGCCTGGGGTGCCTAAGCAGCTACCACAGAGGTAGTGGCATTTAAAGGAGGAATAGAATTTTCTTAGCAAACAATGTGTGTGTGTGTGTGGGGGTGCCATTTAATTAATTAATTAATTAACCCACTTATTTAGGGCAAGAGAGAGTGAGATGGGGCAGAGGGAGAAGGGGTGGGAGAGGAGAGTTGGCATTAAGCAGACTCCACACTCAGTGTGGAGCCTGATTCGGGGCTCGATCTCATGACCCTGAGATCATGACCTGAGCCAAAATCAAGAGTCAGACGCTAAACTGATTGAGGCACCCAGGCACCCCAAGTTGTGGGAAGAGGTGTCATTTAAACAAAGGCAATAACAGAACAAAATATCTGTGCTCAAGGAGTTTGCAGTCTGTAGTAGGACACACAAACACACACACACGCACATTCACACAGACACGTTTATTATTCTAAAAAGCAGAATATGGCCCTCAGCTCAGGGCAAACTTTTACAGAGGGCTGTGCCCTGGCCCAGGAGATGTAATGCCTGTCATCCAAAGCAGGGGGATGACAATTCCAAGTGATGCATTGGTGCAAGGAAGGCTGTGTATGACCTGCCCATCAAGAGGAGGGCGTTGAGGCTGTGAGGACAGAGGGGTGGGGTGTGGCTTAATGTTTTCATTTAGAGAAGAAACTCTCTTCGGGTAGGATGCTAAAGGATAAGTAAGACTTCAGACATCAGAGAAGGGGGAAAGAAGGCCACTCTTCCTTCCATGCTTGCCAGGGACCCTTCATCCCCTTGGACTCTGTCCCTTGTACTCAAAGGAGTACAGATCTGAACATCCCCTTACCATACATAAGAGAGATCAAAGGAGAGTCACACCAGGAAGCGTGTCCCCTCCTGCCACAACAGCTCCCTTCTCCCCAACTTTCAGAAGCCTGCCCTGCTCTCCTACCCACCTGCTCTCCTACCCACCTACCTTTTGTGTGTTGTCTGAGTTGCTCACATTCATTATAAATCTCCTCTGAAATGGCAGGAAAACACAAAACTCCAACCATAAGCAGGGCCTCTGGAGTAAAACTGACAAGCAATGCCTTCTATCTAGAACCAATGCGCTTTCCTAAGAGTAGGACTCTTTATTGGAAGCATAAAGTAACAGTGTAAGAAAACGGAGGCAGTCCCTGGAGCTTATGGTTTGGGATCAGACCAGGATTATCAAGGACCAAATGTTTATTGAAAATCATGGGTATACAAAGGACAACTTCTCTCCAGGAGCTTATGAGTAGGTTCAAGGTGAAGATGTTAAGTCCATAAACATGTAAGTAGTAAGTTAATTATAAGCTGATGCTATAGAATGAATGCTTGTATCCCCCTCAAATTCATATGTTGGGACCTAATCCCCCTGTGTGATGGTATTTGCAATGGGGGCTTTGGGAGGTGATTAGGTCATGAGGGTGGAGTCCTACAGAATGGAATGAGTGTCCTTATAAAAGAGAGCCCAGAGAGTTCCCATGCCCTTCTCCATGTGAGGACCCATCAAGAAGACCACCATCTATGCACCAGGAAGCTGGCCTTCAACCAGGCACAGAATCTGCTGGTTTCCTAATCTTGGCCTTAACCTCCAGAGCTGTGAAAAATAAATATCCGTTGTTTATAAGCTACCCAGTTGATGGTATTTTTTTTATAGCAGCCCAAATGAATGAGGACAGTAGAGATCTTACAAGGTGATGTGTGATTAAGTGTCCTAGGCGTGGTAGATTCTCCTCTGCAATGGAGGAAGAGAAGCCGTTGGATTACATGATTTCCTTAGGCCCTGTTTCTAGAGTCATCATTGTATGAATCTAACAATAAGTGCTTTTTTTTTTTGACAATAAGTGCTTTGAGGTCAGACTTTTTTTTTTTAAAGATTTTTATTTATTTATTGAGAGAGAGAGAATGATAGAGAGCGTGAAGGGGGGAGAGTCAGAGGGAGAAGCAGACTCCCTGCTGAGCAGGAAGCCCAATGCAGGACTCGATCCCGGGACTCCAGGATCATGACCTGAGCGAAGGCAGTCACTTAACCAACTGAGCCACCCAGGCGCCACTGAGGTCAGAGTTTTATCATCCAAACTGGTTTTCTTCTCTCCCTCTGATTGCATTAACGCCAGAAAAAAATCCGAAAAAAAGCAGCAGTTATGTAGAATTAAAGAGTAGTTATCTGCAATACTAGCTATGTTATATTATATTTGCATCTTATAATTCAGGACACATGTTGAGAATATTGACTAGTGAATTTACAGAGTATATTGAAACTTCTTTACTTACGAACAGGTTAAGTTCTCAACGTCATTCTTTTTTTTTTTAAAGATTTTATTTATTCATTTGAGACACAGAGCTACAGAGAGAGAGAGAGCAGTCTTAAATTGGTTGTTTGCAAGTTCAGAGTGTCTCCAAACACACAGCATGGGACATTTTCCTCACCATTCTCGAACTTCTACATTTGTTTCACTGGAGATTCTCTCTCATCTTACTGGGACCTTCAACACTGGTAATATTTCTGGTTATGTCAGATATGATGGGGTTAATACCACTTGCAAAATCCCTAAAAAGCAATAAGCCTTCCACTCTCCACTGACGGAGGTGAAGAGGAGGCTTGGTCTTGGTCAGGAACAACAACTGGCTTTTCCAAATGTCTGTAACTTTATATACGAGGCTCAAAGGGGAGGCGGGGAGACTCAGCCCTAGAACTCACTTGTAGGTATTAAGAATGCTTTCTGAGCTCAGGAATTTAAGACCTTGATTCCTTAGGTCTTCAATTCTAGCAATTTTGGGGGCCTGAGGTGCCCACCCCTCCTCCCTTTCAATACTTGCAGCTTCGCCAGCAATACTTGTCTGGAGTTTAGTAGGACTAATCTCATTCTGGTCTCTCCTAGTCTATCCTGAGAAGCCCCAGCCTCCCAGGTCACTCCCATCTCCCATCCTCTAATCATAATAGGTTCTGCATACCCACTGTTTTACCCTCATCTCTTTCCCCATCCTAACTCCTGAACCTCTCCTCCCACATTTCTGCTGTTCCTGGTCCATCATCAGCAAAACCCCACATATCTTAATCCCTTATCTTTGCCTGAATCTTCCCTGAGGATAGTGCAGCCCCTGCAAGGGGTGACAATGATTCTCCAGTAGCCTCTGTACCACTGGGCCTGGAAGAGGGCTACGTGCTCTCCATGAATCCTATTGACTCTTAAGGTCCGTTCCCCACGCTCCCTCAGCCAGACATCACCATAGCAGATTATACCACTCCATACCATACCCTTGAGTATACCTGCTCTCCATCCACCCCACATCTGCACCTGTGCAACCCACTATGCCTGCAAAAGCTCTCAGCCCCACTGGCCTCACGTTAAAATCACCACTATAGTCCTTGGGGCAGCCTTCCATGCTGTTGGGGGGACAGATTGCAGCACACACAGATCCGTGCACTCTTTCAGAATCCTAGACAATTAGTTGATGATTTATCTTCCCTCCTCAAACCCTCCTGTCCCGTCTCCCTCTCAGCTGATGACCTTGCTTCTATTTGCTGAGAAAACGGAAGCTGTCAGAAGAAATGACTGCTGACGCCACCACCCCATCCAGCTCCTCCCACATCTGCCCTCTGTGGCCCCCACCTGCCCACCTGCCACAGATGGACTCTGTGCTCCCAACTGAAGACGACCCCTTAGTGTGTGGACTAGCTCTTACACCCCCTTGAGGTGTCAAGATCATTATTCTAGAACTTTCCCCCTCTCTCACATCACCATTTTTCTCTCTTAAAAAACTAAAGTCTTCTTTTCACTGCACATCTCTCAGGAGCCATTGCCCCACATTTGCCCCTCTCCGTAGCAGAATTCCTTGAAAGAAGTGTCCGTACTTCCTGTATTCAATCTCTCCCCACCCCGTTCTCTAACTCCCTAGACGTGCCCACTATTCTTCAGAAGGGGCTCTCATTGAGGCCACATCCCTGAGGCTGATTATGGTCAGCGCTGCTCCTCACCTCAGTGACTTACCCACAGCCCGTGATGCAGCTGATCACGCCCTTCTCCAGGGAGCAACTTCCTCATTTGGATTCCAGAACCCACACACTCTTGCTTGTCTTTGTAAGTCACAAGATGCTGCTTCTCGCTCCCCTGTCCTTTGCAGGCTCCTCCTTCTCTTCCTGACATAGGCTCACCTCCTGTCCCTCTTTCCTATCTACATTCCCTCCCTTGGTGATCTTACCAAGTATCAAAGTTTTAAATATCATCTACATGTCCAGGACTCCCAATTTCGTAAATCTATCCTAGACCTTGCTTTGTGACTTCAAACGCCAAAAACCAACTGCCTTCTTGACCCTTCCACTTGGAACTTTGTGGGGCATGTTCCATACTTGAGCTCTTGATCCTTCTCTCAAGCCAGCTTTGCTCCAGGCTCCCTAATTTTAGTTGGTGGCAACCCAATCTTTTCACTCGCTCAGCCCCCAAATATTCAAGTCTTTACTCAAATTATGCCTTCCCGTGGGGCCTACCCTGACAAATTTATTGTCCCCTTGCTCATCCCATCCTCCTTACCTGTTCTAGTTGATGTCCACAGTCCTTACCTCCTTTAACATACTATATAATTTATTTACTTATCATGTCAATTGCTTATCATCTGTCTCCCTGCTCCCACCCTCACCCCTGCCTAAATGCTAACCCCCACGAGGGCAGGGTTTGTTTGTTTGTTTGTTTTTTCTGGGCTGTTTATTGATGCATCCCGCGCCTGGCGTGTACTGTGTGCCCAATGAGTGTTGGTTGAATGAATGAAAATAAGCAAATTAAGTCACAGTGGCCTAAGCTAAAGGCAGAGAATGAAATAACCTTACATGATCACTGATGTTGTCTGTCGGTAGCCCACAGAGTGACGTGACATTGTCAGGTATGACCCTGGGTCCACGAGAGGTTGAATGTTGAAGTTTGTAAGTAAGGAAGCTTCTCTGATTCCTTTAGATAACATTGAATCAATTCAACTTCAAATTCAGGGATAAGGGGAGGGCTTAGCTCTCTTACTTTACGTTCATTGAAAATAACACATGATACGTATTCCTGAGCCTTGTAACACTCTCGGGAATTTATGAGACTATTACTGTATACTGAGTAGGGTGCTGAGCATGGGGCTATAGGTTCATTGCTCTACCAGTAGCCCAGGGGCAACTGATGCCAGTTGCTACCTCCCTCCCTGTCCTTTTCGAGGTAGAGAACCCCTGGCTATTATTGTCATCTCTGAGAAGTGGGTAGAGGTCCGCCTCAGCCTCTTGGGCTGGGAAGGGAACGACCAAGTGGCGCCGGCTTGTCACATCCCACACATGCTGTTTATGGTCTGTCTCGGGCTGCAGCTCAGAACCAGTCACTGAACCCGTTCGGGTGGTCTGAACGTGTGGCCCCTGGAGGACCTCTGATAAATGATTGACCTTTATCTTATTGTGACTCTCTCAGCCACTCCTCTGTGATTGGTGGTGGTGACCAATGGACATGATTCCCTCAAATAGGTGACCTGGTGAGATGAACCCACAGAATTCTTTATGTTAGGTTACAATTACCCTCTTGATAAAATCCAGAACACACACAGTCAGTCTTTGGGGGGCAAGAGAACCAACTGATATTACCAGCACTACCCACTGTGGATAGGAAGTTGGGTGTTGGGTACCCCCAGACCTGGGGCCCTGCTTCACTGGAGAACCAGACAGCCAGTACTGGGAGGGTCGAGCCACTGAGGGGAGAGGGTACCAGCAGAGGCACATACAATGGGACCAAGCAAAGAAAGTGGGGAGGTGGGGGGGTGGCAGAGAGGGGCTGGAGACTTGGCACATTACTGCTTTCTGACCCCAGAGTTTCTCCAATTATAGTCCTCGGACTATCTGCAAAAGTATCACTTGGAGGATGGGCGTTAAAGACATAGATTCTTGAGCCTTTGGTTCTGATTCTGGATGGGGTCTACATTTACGCGAACTTCCCTGGTGTGAAGTTGGAGAACTTGCAAAATCCCTAAAAAATCCTTGTTTGGGTAGTGGTCTATCCCTCCCGGGCAGGCTGCCCTTGGTGGGCTCTTCAGAATGTGGGGCAGTGGCCACATTCCAGGGGATGGCTTCTGCCCAAGCCTTGTCCTCAGCAGCTCTGCCTGTCCTCAGGTCCCAATACTCACAGCCCAGCTGGCTGGCCCTAAACCACCGAAACTCAAGGCATCTGAAGCAAAATTCCTCGTCCCTTTCTCCTAACCCTGCTTCCCTTCCTGACATGCACATTTCTTTTCCTCCTCAACCTGGCTCAAAAACTCTGCAATATTCTTAAATCCTTCTTGTCCTTTACCCTTCTATCTCACCAGTTCCCACGTGGGGTAGATTTTTTCTTCACTGTTCTCTTGCCTTCATGGAATCCCTTCCTCTCCCTTTCCCCGTGGCCAAGTTTAGTGTCTCCTTTCTTCACGCAGATGGGGTGACCACCCTTCCTGACTTGCCTTGGGCTGAGGGATGCAGAACTACAGCTGGGAAGGTCCTGGGAACACCAGGATGAGCTGGTCACCCTGTGCCTGGACCATTGCAGCAAGGATGAGGTCACCACCCCCTTCCCAACACACACAGTCTCTCTTCGCCACACCTCACCCCTGCACGCGCTCCTGAGGATTAAATTTCACCGTGCATAATTGTTCTTGACCCTCCCCCAAATCTTCCATTCTCAAATACATAGCTTGCTTCCTAATTTGTTTAAATTAATTACTGTGCCATCCAAGGCCCCCAGAAATCTGAACCTACCTGCCTTACTAGTTTCATCTTCCCCTACACATAATAACCTTTGTTCAACAGAGCCGGCACTTCCCGTGTGGAACGATCTCACTTCTGGGCCTTTGTTTATGTTGTTTTCTGGCTCCAACCACCCATTTTTCTTTTTTTTTAGCCCATTCTCACCTTTTTGAAAGCTTACCAATCATTTAATTCCCAGCCCAAATTCCCATTTGGGCTGGGACTTCTGGGACACCGCACATCTGCTCAGCCAGCCAGAAGCAATGTCTAGCCTCTCAACTCTCATCATGACTCCCTAATAGCACCCCAGTGGCATTTGTCACACACGGCCTTGATATATACCTCCTTGTAACCTATGTTTTCCCCCTACTTGACACTCTATCTCTTGAACAGGGACCTTCCACATTTGTTTCTTATCCTTCGAAGCTCACTGAACTTTGTATATGGTAGATGATTAGAAAGCATACCTTCACTCGGGTAGAAGAACAAATAGGTAAACTTTCACTATATTAGATGGGAAATGTTTGCTCATGGAGGAGGAAGACATCAGGGTCACAAATCACTGTGGGGATGGCCCTGCTCCCAGGAATACATGTCAAGTTCACTGTGACTTACAAGGTATACAAATGACATTTACATTTCTCCAAAATTAGGAATAATAGTTGCCAACATTGATTGAGCATGTACTGCATTCCAGGTATTGAATGCTTCATATGCACTAACTCAGCCTCATAGCAACCCCAGGGTTTGAAACTCAGCTCCACTGTTGACAAGGTTGTGTCCTTGGGAAAGTTGCTTAACCTGTGTACCTCAGTTTCTCAATTTGTAAAATGTGGGTTAAAATAGTAGCTAATTCAGTGGGGTGTTGCAAGGAATATTATACTTCATTGAATCCAAGACGTCATCCATTATAAGATGCACCATTACTTTATGTACCACTAATAGAACGAAACCATCTGCCAATTAAATCCTGAACACTATAGATTGTTAGATGCAGCCTGTGTTAGATGTTAAAATATGGAAAAACGTGTCGTAAAATCAGTGAAATGTGGTAAATAATTTAAATGAATGATGATACTGTTATGGGCCAAATTGTGTCACCCCCCAAAATTCATATGTTGGGGTCCTAACCCCTAGTACCTCAGAATATGACTGCATTTGGAGATAAGGTCTTTACAAAGGTGATTGAGTAGAATTATTCATATAGATGGGCCCAAATTCAACATAATTGGTGTCTTTATTAGAAGAGATTAGGATCCAGACACACACAGAAGGAAGACCTCGTGAAGATACAGGGACATGAAAACCATCTGCAAGCCAAGGAGAGAGGCCCCCAGAGAAACAATTCTGCTGACACCTTGATATTGGACTTTTAGGCTCCAGAACTTTGAGGAAATACGTTTCTTTGGTTAAGCCACCCAGTCTGTGGCGCTCTGTTATGGCAGCCTGAGTAAACAAATGCATAACCCCTCAATAAAGCTGTCTAAGACAACAGGACAAGGAACTGAGATCTGGAACAGTCCTGTTCCAGCAGGAGACCTGTCAGCCCAAGCTCAGCTCGTCCTTCATAGTCAATAAACCCAGTGCCAACTTAGACCTTCCCTTCTACTTGGGTCTCAATTCATCAAGAAGTCAACTGTTCGCTTGGGACAGAAGAGCCATCTGTGAACTAGCACCATTAACAATTGACCTCTTTTTTTTTTTTTTTAATTCCATTTATGGAGGTAGAAGGGAAAAGTGTGAGGAGCTTTTGCGTATCAACACACTACTGTCAGGATTCTGACTAGAGTGCATGGCCATGCTTAGCTCAGACCATCTTCATCGAAACCGACAGTGGGTACCTGACATTAAAAAAGTTTATGACAACAGATTGTCTAGATTGGTTAGATCTTCAAATAGGACTGACACCCCTCCCCATTTCTTTCTTCTCGAGTGGTTTGACATTTGTGCATAATATGAAGAAAGATCGTCAAGACTGAGACGTGGCTGCTAGGAGGCTTCAGCTCATGTTTGCTCATCTCCTGTATGGTGAAACCCTGGCAACGAGACAAACCCTCATTCACAGCAGAACAAAGCACTAGTTATGTGTGTTGAAATTCCTTAGAGAAAATGTCTTGCAGGCTGCTGGGGAGTGCATGAATGCTGGAAATACTTCCCCAAGCGTTGCTCAACGTCCTGGGAAGATAGTCTGCTGGCATCTGGACGCCTTGCCTGGAGAGGGGTTACAGGACTCTAGGGCGTGTGGGTCTGGTGAGGACAGAGGGGCATGGCTGGATGGGTGGGTGGAGATTGGGTTGGATGTTTTCTCTGTAATCATCCTAGACCTGGCTGGAGCCAGCTCCAGACTGCCCACTTTCCTGGTCTATTGAAACTATCTAAAGTCAGCCTTGTCACCAAGGCGGCCACCTCCCCTGCTTGGGACCAGAAATTCCTGTTTGTTTGTTTTTTCTTATAAGCCCCAGTTACTTGGGTTTCCTCAGCTTTGACTTAGAGAAGTAAGAGGGGAGAGGAGTGACGGAAAGGTTTTTGATCAGCATCCAAGGTATGAAATGGTTAGGTGGGAGGTCTGCGGGTTTACATTGGAAACGAAATCCACTGTGGCTCCAGCCATTTGGAGGTAACTCCAACAGATGGGACTGAGTTGGCGACCAGAAGGGCCAGCGCAGGCAGATGCGGTAATGGTGTGGTCGTAATAAGTGAACACCACTAGAAGAGGGAGGAGAATGGTACCGAACGAGAGCAGAGCTTCTCGTGGTGACCCCGGGACCAGCAGCTCAGCACCTCCTGGGTTAAAATGCCAATGCTCAGCCCCACCCCAGACCTACTGCACCAGGAGCTGTGGGGGTGGAGCCTGGCCATCTGTGCTCCCAGGAGACCTCCTGATGATCCCGACGCACCCTCAAATCTGATAGGAGCACTTATGGAGTGAGGGAGAGACTCTCCTGGATTGGGGGAGAGGAGGAGAGGAGTGACTCCAGAAAAAGGAAAAGTGACGAGAGCTGCCAGAGTCAAAGAATGTGAGTCAAGATCATAGCAGTTCAAGGTTGTCTGGATTCTTAGTTGGCACATGCCTACCACTGACGTCATGCAGAAATTTTAAGAAGAAACTCAGCTAACAAGAGTAAAAGAACAAATATGGATGCAAAGTACTCTCAGAAATTAGAAAAAGGGAATTATGTTCTTACATTGCTGGGATTCACCCGCAGATCCTGGAGGGGCTCATCCCTCTGTTTCCACTCTAGTCCTCCCCCTCACCCCTCTCTTCTATGAAAGCACAGCTGTCCTTTGCCTCAACCCCTTGAAGTCTGGATCTGTTAATGAACAAAAATCCTAACAGCTATTAGCATCCTACCACTTCCAGATAAGACATTTGCATGTTAGTGACTTTCTTGAATCTGATGGTGAGGATTCCCTAGCCATGGTGGACGGGGCAATGGGGAAGTGTCCCTTAGAGGCCCCTGGACTCACAGGACATATACGACCGCTGGCTGTGCCAGCAGACCCAACTGCCCCAAGACCAACAGGGAAAGTGAACCTACTTATGTAGGAGCACAGAGGTTTTCAGCTTTACCTCAGGGAAAGAAATGTTCACTCAAGCTTCTCCTGAAGAAGGCTTCCCTCAGAGAGCAGGCAGGACAGCAGGTGTAGGGCGGGCTGAGAGAACCGGGTGTCTGCTCCTGGGGCTGGCTCAGCACCAACTGACTGTGGGATCCTGGACCCTTCCCTTAACTCTTCTCAGTTGCTTTCCTCACCTGTAAAATTTAGTGGTTAACTGGGTGGAATTAGATCTGATCAGAAAAATCAGTAGAAACCCAGCTCACCGGGCCTCACAACTGCCCACCTGAATCTGACCCTCCATGGAAAGGCATGGGCATCTCCATTTCCCAGAAACCCTTCTGATCTGAAGTTGTAACACCTTTCATGACCTAGGCTCGGCAGTCACCTAGCGTCATTTCTTCTGCTGTCACAATCCCTCCCAGGTTCAAAAGAAGAGAACAGAGTCCCCACCTCTTGATGGGGGAGGGTAAAATTTGCCTAGCAAGAAGAGAAAGCAGGATGGGATATGTTGCTGCAGGCTGGTATTAGGATCCTCCAGAGAAACAGAACCAACAGGTGATTATGTATACACATGCATATATACACACAGGTATACACATATATGTATATGTATGTATGTGATTCAAGAATTGGCTCATATGATGACAGAAGCTGAGAAGTCCCAACATCTGCAGTTAGCAAGCTAGAGACGCAGGAGAGCCAATGGTATAAGTTCTAGTTCAAGGGCAGGAAAAGACTGATGTCCCAGCTCAAGCAGGCAGGCAAAATTACTTCTTTTTCAGCCTTTTTGTTCTATTTGGGCTTTCAGTGGATGAGGGCCACCCACACTGGGAGGGCAACTTACTTTACACAGTCTGATTCTAAATGTTAATCTCATCCAGAAACACCATCACAGACCCACCCAGATATTCCCAAATACATGGGCACCCTGTGGCCTAGTCAAGTTGATACATAAAATTGACCATCGCAAGCCATCTCTGAAAAACCTCACCACCACATTCTCAGAGGACCAGAGCACCAGCCCTTTGGTCCCCAGGCAGGATCAGAGCCTTCTGGCCCTTCCAAGGGATGTTGTTGCTGGTAGGCATGGGAACAAGATTCAAGCAAAGACCATTCCTCCTCAGGGTCCCCATTCCTTCCTTGATGAGGCCTCATAAGTAAGGGAGTAGTCCAGACATGAAAAAGATGACCTAGGGGACACACAAAGGACCCTAGTCAGAACATTGCCATTTCAGAGGGAAGTCGAGATGTTGTGAGACTCCTGGGTCTTTGGTGACGAGGCCAGCTTACCATGTGGGAGTATGTGGGGCACACTGGTAGGGGAAGAGAAAGCCCAGCTGGTGATGGTGACAGGCGTGAGACCAGGCATGAAACATGGGTAAGGCACAGTTGTTGGGCTCCTGGAAGGCCTTCTTCCTTCCTGTCATCTTTATCCTTCCTCCTTGCCCAAGCCCTGGCCCTGTGGCTTCACAACAGCCCAGAGCCAGCATAGGCTGCAATAGGCCATAAAGGACTGAAGTGTATTATTGGATTAGTATGTTAGTATAGGATCAATATGCCACATATATGAAAAATGTCTGAGGGTAGGAAATTATCTGTTTCAAAGTATAAATGAAGACATTGAGAGAGATCAAATAATGTGCAGTGATCATACAGTGAGTGAGTGATGTTGGTTGGATTCAAACAATGTCTGTTGGACTCCAATGGGTCATTCCACCATATGTTCATTACCCTCTGTCAGAGTCCCTCTCACTGGAAGGGGTGGTAGGGAATGTGGAAGTGAGGTTGCTATGAGGAAGCAGCAAGAAGAAGGAAGTGGGGGAAAGAGAAATCAGACTTCCTTCATGCAGTTCTTAGTGGCTGTTCACCTTTAACAGTTGGGGGAGGCTGCCCCAGTTCTAGGAACATCAGTGAATTTGAGCAGGAGGTGGTCTTGCAGAGAAAATGGGGGAATGGCTGTGTTGGATGAGAAAGGGAAGGGTCAGGGCCAAGGATGGCTCGCCTCTGCTCATGGGCATGGTCAACCTGCATGGGCCTGGGCATCGGGGCGTAGCGCTTGACATTTTCTCTCTCCTGCTCTCAATTTCAGGTTCCCCAAGAAAACGTTTTATTTATTATCAAATAATTTCCTGGGAGAAAGCCAGAGACAGTGGATGGTGAAGAGAAACAGGAAACAGGAACTCTGCTCTGGCTTTTGGTCAGGCCTAGTTGGTGTTCTAGGAAAGTCACTTCACTTCCTGGGACCCCCAGTGAGTAGATGGTCTCTAGATCCTTCTAGCTCTGAGATGTGGGACTTTCCTCCAGCACTGTGCCTGGCAAATGCTCAAACATGCTGAATTATTGAACATAGTGGTCTGAATGTCCAGCTGCTCAGTGGCAAAGTAAGGGCTCTGTTTTGGGACCAGGCTAAGCAGTCACCCCAGCCAGATGAACTTACAGCGTTGTTCTTCTGTACCTCAGCCCCGAGGTGTGGGTTTACCCTGGGGCAGGTCACACCAGAGTTCTGATGGCCTGTATATCTCTCATGTAACTGTGACTACTAAGTCACTTTTATGTAACTTCCTGTAGCCAAGTCATCCTTACGAGGCTGCTTGAGAAGGTTCTCCCTCTGGCTTTCCCTTTGTTCTGGATCTCAATGCCACAGTGGGAATGCATACAATGAATCATGGGACGGAGCCTACCAGAATGTTCTGGGTGTTATGAAGAGACCCTGGTGGGGACTGAAGGATGCTCATACCATCTCATATACTCAAGGTTTAGTCAGGCGCCCTCCACTCCTTGCTTTGGCTCTTCTGGACCCTGTCATCCACTCCCTTCCTGTGCCAGACCCGCCCCCCAGGCACTCCTGCAGCAGGCTTAGGCCTCTCTTCATCCAGTGTCTGGCTATGGGCTCCCTCAACCTTAGGGAGTGTGTCCCCCTTGAGAAGCTTCCCCTCTGTTCCTCATTCCAGTCCAGTCATCGCTTGGGGGTGTAGGAAGTGGGAGGACTTGGGGCATAGCTAACAGCAGGTGAGTCACCTCCCCAGGTTGATGTGGGGGGAAAAGAATGAGTGGATGTCCTGATAGGAAAATACTGACACTCAGGGACGAGCACAGCTGAATCAGGCATGAGTCACTGAGCCCAGGAGAGAAGAACGTCCTCTCTGAGAGGGGCCGTGTGTGCATGGGGGCATGGGTGGGCAGAAAAGGTCTGGGAGAACAATGGGACCTACCACCTCAGGGGCTATTGACTGACCGTAGTCTGAGAGTAAAGTGTGGGTCATTCAGATTCCTGAAAGATCATCAGTCTGCAACAGTGAGGGCCTACCCTGAGGACAGCTCTGGGTGTCTCATCCCCCCAGCTGGTGTACAGTACTGTTGCCTTTGAAAAGGATACATGGGAGGAGGCTGACATTTGTAGGTCGGGGGTGTGGTATCAGACGTCATGGTAGAAGGAGCATCTATTTTTCTGGAAACTTTTCCAGAAAGAGCATGGCTACTTGCTGTGTCTAAATGGTCAAGGGCCAATCTGAAGGTTAGGGGGCACCAATTTGTCTGGTATGGCCCTTGAAGATCTGTGGACTTATGGCCTCTCGATTTGTTATCTGAGGACAGGAGGATGTAGTCCCAAGGGGTTGAGGTCTCAGTCCTGGAAGAACATGAGTTAAGTGAGCATTTATCTCTTTCATTGAAATTCTCTCTTGCTGCTTTTGCAAGACATTTGGTCTCGCACCTCATTATCCTTCTTTCCTCCAGACTGGCTCCCTCAATTTAATATTGACCATCCACATCTCTGTCACATGTGCCATCTCTCTCTGCTCCATGAGGTCACAGACCCTGGAGTCACCTTGGCTTTAGTAAATTCACTGAGCCCTGTTTCATCCATTTCCTGACGTCCATCCTGCCCCCCTGCCCTTCCCAATCTCACCGTTCTCTCTTCAACCTTCTTTTCTTCTTTGTTCTACTCCACCGGACAGCGTCAGGCCCTCATCACATCACCTATGGTCTAACTGTCGATCTGCAGCTGGCACTTCTCTCCCCCAAACCTCCCTAGAGCTGCTGGGTGATGAAATGATGGAGGGGGTCCAAACTGCTACATGCAGCACCTTTGGGATTTTCACGTGTGGCAGTGACAGCTACCTGCACCCCCCAAATCCATTTTCTCTTGCTGGGACCATGGCTAGCCTACATTTATTCATCTCCTCTGTGTTTAAAGGTCTCATATCATTGAGTCCTAGGCAGTGGAAAGTGAGCAAAATGGCCAGCACTTTAAGAAGAGCACCAGGGGCGCCTGGGTGGCTCAGTCGGTTAAGCATCTGACTCTTGATTTCAGCTCAGGTCATGATCTCAGGATCGTGAGATCAAGCCCTGTGTCAGGCTCCGCGCCGGGCTTGGAGTCTGCTTGAGATTCTCTTTCCCTCTGCCCCTTCTTGCTTGGGCATGGTCTTTCTCTCTCTCTCTCTCTCTCTCTCTCTCTAAAATAAATAAATAAGTCTTTAAAAATTTATTTTAAAAAAAGAGCACTAGCTATAAGTAGACAACAATGAAACTTAGGAGATGTCATCAACAGGAAAGGGAGGTGCCTGGGTCCCTGAATTACTGTGAAGAGGAAAGCCACCCATCAAGGAGGCTGGACTTCTATCCACATCAGCAAGAAGTAAACTTGTACTGTTTGAAAGTATTTGGGTCCATTTATTATTACAGCTAGCCTAACCTGATGAAATCCATTTAAGTCCAAAGTCCTCTATCGAATTTTTAAGGTCCTCCCTGCATTGCCCCTTCCCCACCTGGCTTCATTTCCCACTGCTCCCTCCTCTGACTTCGCCATTCTGGTTGCCCCTGTCCTCTGCTGGCCCTGAGCCTTCCTGCTCAGTGCCTGTTGTTCCTCCTGCCCCTGCCTCCTTTCCTTTGCTTATCTCAGTCTCGCTCTTCTAGGAAGAGCCTCAGTCAATCCTATCCCACACTCATCTCTCCCTTCGCTGAATTAATTGCTTCAGATGTGCTACTTTTCTCTTCCTCCTCACAGGCAACAACTGTTCTTTATGTCTACTCTCAAGGCGGAGTATAAAGTAGGAGTTAAATAGTGTATGTGTGTGTGTGTGACTTGATTATTATTTAGGGTCCTCAAGACTTTATTCCTTGCCATGAATAACATGGAATATGTTCTTTAATAAATCATTTGTTCATTCAGCAAAAGATGTACAGAGTGTAAACATTGTTACAAAGGGCTACGGTGAAAGCTACAGGGAACACACTTTGTTTTTCTAAAGATTTTATTTATTTATTTGACAGAGAGAGACACAGCGAGAGAGGGAACACAAGCAGGGGAGAAGCAGGCTTCCTGCTGAGCAGGGAGCCTGAAGTGGGGCTCGATCCCAGGACCCTGGGATCATGATCTGAGCCGAAGGCAGATGCTTAAAGACTGAGCCACCCAGGCACCCCGCTATAGAGAACACATTAAGAAGTTACTGACCTTGGGGTGCCAGGGTGACTCAGTCGGTTAAGCATCGGACTCTTGGGTCATGATCTCAGGGTCATGAGATTGAGTCCCGCATTGGGCTCCACACTGAGATCTCTCTCTCCCTCTCCCTCTACCTCTCCCTACCAAATAGAATAGAATAGAATAGAATAGAATAGAATAGAATAGAATAGAATAGAATAGAATAGAAT